GAACAATAAAATTACCCCGGTGTGGTGGTATGTGCCTAGTAATTCCCAGACCTAGCACAGGGGCTGAGCACATGAATCACTTGAATCCTGGAGGCAGAGACTGCACGTGCAGCTGAGATCATGCCATGCACTCCAGCCTGGAGGCGACAGAGTGAGACTCCTGAAACAAATTCTTAGAAAGACAAACATAACACAGTTGTCTACACAACGGAGCTATATTTATTTACCTGTTCATAAATAGGTATTTACAAAGATTAACTGAAAACTATGGAAAGAGATAGCTGCATTTTGAATATTGGCAGATAAGTCTGTCACATGTCTTCTTTTTTTTTTAATTTTGTTTGTAGAGGTCTACAGCTACAACTGATTATATAAGATGAATGAAGTACAGTTGAATAATACTGGTTTTTCTTTGAAATAACCTCAGAAGAGTGGCACATTATATGAGTATAAAAGAATATGTTACATGTTTCCAGGAGAGAAGTGCAATCCACAAACTTGAGGAAATGGAAGAATTTCTCACTGTGGTGGGCTATCATGACGTAACAGGCTCTGCCAAGACAAGCTATAGTCACTGCATGACCTGGTGCTAGGAGTGTACTAAAGAACTTATAAATTGCAGCCTGCACCTGCGGGTAATACCATAGCCCCTGTTTATGGGTTTTCCAAAACCACTGACAAATGTGTGTATTTATGGAGTTTGCAGGATGTCTAGCCTGCTTTTTCCACAAGGATATGAAAGGGTTAATACAAATGTTTTGGTAAATATGTAACCTCATAATTTTTCATCCTCTGGTAAATTTTTTTTCATATACTGGAGCTAAATTTTCGAATGGTAGTAAGGCAAATTTTTCTGTGATCCATTCTGCAATATTTGTGAGAGTCACATTTTAAACACAGAAAATACTAGGTACATAAAATTCCTGGGAATTAAGATCTTTGATTCTTGAAAAAGAAGATTGATTCTTCACCAAACGTCAGGAAAGATCTTTGAATACTTTGAGTGTAACATGAAGGCACAGTCGTATTTTGAGTTCATTAACAAATAATATGTTCTTGTTAAACACAATAGCAATGTCTCAGGAAATCTACTTGCATTTACCTGGCCCTGCATTGTTCAATAAGCCACATGTGGCTGTTAATAACCTGGAATGTTACTAGTCCAAATGGAGGTGTGCTGTAAGTGTGAGACACACGGAGTTCCAAAGACTTAGTACAAAAAACTTGTAGGGCCGGGCACGGTGGCTCATGCCTATAATCCCATCACTTTGGGAGGCTGAAGTGGGTGGATCACTTGAGGCCAGGAGTTCAAGACCAGCCTGGGCAACATGGTAAAACCCTATCTCTACTAAAAATACACAAATTAGTATGGTATGGTGGTACGTGCCTATAGTCCCAGCTATTCAGCAGGCTGAGGCACAAGAATAGATTCAACCCAGAGGTGGGGGTTGCAGTGAGCTGAGATGGCACCATTGTACTCCAGCCTGGACAACAGAGGGAGACTCCATCTCAAAAAAAGAAAAAGAAAAAAAAAACCTTGTAAGTGATCTCAAATTTTTTATATTCCTTACATGTTGAACTATTTTTGCATAAATCTGGATGAATAAAATACATTATTAACATTAGTTTCCTCTGTTCTTTTTTTAATGTGGCTACTCAAACATTCTAAATTATATATGTGGCTTATCTTGTAGGTCTTTTGGACTGCAAAGACCTAGTCTATCACAGACTACTTGACACATCCACTGGAAGATGCTGGAATTGGCATCAGAGACTGGCAGGAATGCCCAGGAATGGCTGCAGACGTTTTCTTCCTGAAAATTCGTCATAGAGAACTGGTGGACAATGGAATCTGGTTTTCCTCACTTTTTTAATGCTGGTAGTGTTCAGAAAACTAAAGATGTAAACAAATAAACAAAAAACAGGCTACTGTGTAAAGGGGCGCCCAGGCCTGGGTCTGATTATAGTTTGATTTAACCCCTGGAAAGGATGTTTGATAATGTTCCAGTTTATGGCCTAATGACCAACATTATCAAATTACCCCTTAGGTGCTTTGGTGCCGTATTTACAGGCTCTTCCATTAGTATTCATTTCAAACAGAGATTAAAAAGTTGAGAGGCCTGCAGGCACTCCTGACCCATATTAGAGCCTGGCCATACTCATCTAGGCCACTGGAGGCGTAGATAGGCCTGGGGAGACTTCGCGATTCTTCCAGGACCGCCACCCCTAGATTTTCTGGGTTTGAATACAAGCCAGTAGAGAAGTCCACGTTGGGGACCTCTGCCGATCCATCTGGGAGGTCCACGCCTGGTGCCTTTCACACACTCACCAAAATAGCTTAGAAAAAAGTCCATTCTTTGGCCAGGGGCAGGGCTCAAGCCTGTAATCCCGCACTTTTGGGAGCCGAGACGGGCGGATCACGAGGTCAGGAGATCGAGACCATCCTGGCTCACAGTGAAACCCCGTTCTACTAAACTACAAAAAACTAGCTGGGCGCAGAGGTGAGCGGGCGCCTTAGTCCCAGCTACCGGGAGCTGAGGCGGAGAAGGCGGACCCGGGGAGAGGCGGAGCTGCAGTGAGCTGAGATCCGGCTACTGCACTCCAGCGCCGGGCGACAGAGCGAGACTCCGCCTCAAAAAAAAAAAAAAAAAAAGATCATTCTTTGTACCTCCAAGTGTCCCTTACCCATAACTCCTTCCCAGTATACACCACTACACCAAACAGAGCAAAGGATTTTTTTTGTGGACCTTTCCGAGGTTTTCCTTAGGGATGTAAATTTTTTTTTTTTAAACGGAGTCTCACTCTCTCCCTCAGGTTAGAGTGTGCAGTGGCATGATCTGGGCTCACCGCAAACTCCGCCTCCCAGGTCAGGCATTTTTCCTGCCTCAGCCTCCCGAGTAGTTGGGATTACAGGTGTGCGCCACCATGCCCAGGTAATTTTTGTATATTTAATAGAGATGGGGTTTCGCCATGTTGGCCAGGCTGGTCTCGAACACTTGACCTCAAATGGTCCGCCCGCCTTGGCCTCCCAAAGTGCTGGGATTACAGGTGTGAGTGATCGTGCCTGGCCAGGATTGTAATATTTATTTTATTAGCAATAAAATCATGTAAGTGCATTAAAGACAATGTATGAAGTACAGAAAATAATTTGTGTTTTAATTTTTTTAGAGACAGAGTCTTGCTCTGTCACCCAGACTGGAATACAGCAGCGTGACCATAGCTCGCTGCAACCTCCACATACTGGGCTCAAGCGATTGTCCTGCCTCACCTCCTAAGTAACTGGGGCTACAGGCACACACCACAACATGTAGCTAATTTTTAAAAAAAATTTTGGGCCGGGCGCGGTGGCTCACGCCTGTAATCCCAGCACTGTGGGAGGCCGAGGCGGGAGGATCATAAGGTTAAGAGATCGAGACCATCCTGGTCAACATGGTGAAACCCTGTCTCTACTAAAAATATAAAAATTAGGTGGGTTTGGTGGCACATGCCTGTAATCCCAGCTACTTGGGAGGCTGAGGCAGGAGAATTGCTTGAACCCTGGAGGCAGAGGTTGCAGTGAGCCAAGATCAGTCACTGCACTCCAGCTTGGCGACAAAGTGAGAGTCCGTCTCGAAAAAAAACAAAATTTTTTTTTGTAGAGATGGGGTCTCCTTGTGTTGCCCATGCTGGTCTCAAACTCCTGACCTCACGTGATTCTCCCACTTCAGCCTCCTAAAGTGTTGGAATTCCAGGCGTAAGCCACCAGGTCTGGCCAATTTTTTAAATTTATAATAAAATAAAACTAAATTCAGAAACATTTTCACTCAGAGCAGTATCAACATCCAAAATGACCACTATTAGTGATTATGTAATACCAAGTCTTTTTTCATACACAGTTGAGTTCTATGAAGGTGAATATGTGTGTTTTAATATTTCAATAAGGTATCATTAATTCAAACCTATGCTTATCTGGGTACACAAATCTAAAAGCCACAGTCCCTGTCATCATGAAGGCCCCCTGTCAAAGAAAATGGGGTTTTAAGCCTCTTTAGAAACTTCTTTCTTCCCAATTTCAACAAAATTCCAGTATGTATAAAGTCTACATATAAATCAGATAAGTGATGTTTTATTAGTAGAACCTAATTTCCAATTAGTGATATTTATTTTGAAATACTAATTTGTTTGTTCTCCCCTCTATGCCCATATCATCCCACAGCCAGTTGGAGCAGGTGCCAAGTTGGATGTTCCTCTGACCCAGGAAGGTGTGCAGAGTGGACAGCAAAAGCGGTTCTAAGGCTCTTCCACCCTCTGAAGAGGACACAGGCAGTATTACAGAAAGGAGACTCCTCTAAGGGGCCTGTGAGCTCATCAGCAGTGGGAACAAACGGGCTCGCCGGACCTCTGGAATCAGAATCTCTGGGGGTAAGGTTGAGGAACTTTTTTTAACAAGTTCTTCAGGCCATGAGTATGCACATTAAAGTGTGAAAACCATCAGGTTACAGGAAGAATTTCAGAGGTGGTGGAGTGTGTTCACTTTTGGGGGCAAGAAAGAAGAGAGGGAGTAAGCCCCTGGACACGTGAGACTCCAGGGTTGCACCTGAGGGGGTGTTACAATTTCCGATGAGGTGGCACTCAGGATCCCAGCCCAGCAAAGCCTTTTCCTGCCGCATGCCACTCACAGCAGGCTGGGAAGCAGTGCATAGACAGTGGGAGCGGCAATGTGTTCACTGAGGCTGCCAACCAGAAGCCCCTGCCGAAACCCCCAGCCCTGACCTCTGGACCCCATTGGGGCCTATCACCTTTTGAGGGACCGCTATACTGACTGAGACACCCCTCGTAGGATGGATCTCACAGATCAATTTATTTCTATTAAAAACAAGGTGGGCATGATGGCTTATGGTCCCAGCTTGTTGGGAGGCTATGACAGGAGGATTGCTTGAGCCCAGGAATTTGAGGCTATAGTGCACTATGATTGCACCTGTGAATAGCCACTGCAGTCCAGCCTGGGCAACACAGTGGAAACGATGACAAAATATACCACCACCCAAAAGAATAAGGAACTGGAGAATTCTCGTACACCTGAGATTGTAGACTGAGAATCTTACCCACTACGCGTATTACGAGGTCAGTAAATAAGACAACAAACCATTTTGATGAATACAAAATTCTTCAATTGCAAGTTGTGAATGACACATGCCATTCTATATCAGCCTCGCCCTTTAAAGCGCTTCTTTATTGGAGGCTGTTTTTGCGTATTATGAAGGAAACCCTCATTCATACTCATAGGTAATACTGTGTTCAGCAGGAGGATGTGATGAGCCAAATACAGAATGTGGGAAATTATACAGGACAAATCATCCAGTTTCTTCCTTTAAAAACTGAAAAGAAAAAAAACCTATAAATAAAGGAAACTTGAGAGACATTTCAACCAAATGCAATGTGTGAATCTTCATCCAAACAAAATGTAAAATAACATTCAGGAGACAATCAGGGGAAATTCGTGTGCTGACTGAATATTCAATGATATTAAAGAACTGTGGTCACATTTTTTAATGTGATAATAGTATTGTGCTTTCATGTTTTTACAGAGTCCCTATGCTTTAAAAGTACATATTAAAATGTTTACAAATAAAATGATATAATATCTTGGATTTCCTTTGTCAACCTTAACTCATGAGATTCAGAACATATAGTTAATTATAGAAAAATTCTATAATTCAAGTGCAAAGCTTGAAGATGGCTGTAGAGAAACACAGAGTCCAAATAAGCAGGGTCAGTGTTCCAAAGTAGAAAATTAAGGTTTTACTTGTGTAGGTAGAGATGGAGAAGTTTTAGCAGGATTACAATATTTTCCATATCAGACCAGTGCATATGTTATAGTTATTTGATAACTACAAATATTTGATTGCTACATTCCAAGGAGGATTTATTTATTAATTTACTACTGTGTGAAGAGGGGTAAAAATCTGTGGGGGGTCTTATCTCTGGTGCTGCTTGGCCTTTCCAATTATTTACAGGAAAAAAACCAGAAGTTGCAGTTGCATGCCACGTGACTCAGGTCACACAGCCACATCCCTTTCAAGACTCAGAATACTTTCAAGTTCCAACAGCTTTAAGTTTGAATTATTTAATTTCACACCTTCAAAGTACTCCATCAGAGGAGATAGGAAGTGGTCAGGTATATACTTGAAATCAAATTAGCCGTGAGTTGATCTGAAGCCATCTTCACAGGTTTAACAAGAATTCTGGATAGAAATATAGTTATGGGTAAGCAGTAATCAGGCTGCACTTTGACCCACTTCCTTGTAACCACAAGTCATGTGTCAGTAGACACTGACTGTTTGTAGCCCCATTCTTCCTATTGATAGGACTTCTAACGTTAGCATCAGAAGGCTTTTGTTTAAGAATTGCTTATGATGTTTTTGGGATCCCTAATTCCAGTAAAACAGATGATGCCAACCAATCTGAAGGCCCCCACAGAGGAACAGAATCATCATGAGAATACGATTTCTTCAGCTCCCTATCCCATGATTTTACACTCTGCACTCTTCAATCATCCAACCAATGATTTCCACACTTTAGCCCACTCCAAAACTCTTAAGAACCCTAGTCCCAAACTCCTCTGGGAGATGGATTTGAGGTTTCTCTCATCTCCTCGTTCAGCAGCTCTACAATTAAACCTCTCTCTGCTGCAATCTGGTGTATCAGTGTTTTGACTCACCATGTGCTTCAGGCAATAGACCTATTATGGTTACAGATCATTGTTGAATCTAAGTTACAAGTGCATAACGTTTCTTATACCAGTCTCTCTACTTTTGAAAGTATCTGAAAGTTTCTACAATAAAATGATTAAAAGAAAAGATAATGACACCTCTCGCACCCTTTCTCTCCCTCCCCACACCAAAGAGTGAGGTGGAAGGCTTGTTAGTTTTTCTTCTGGGGCAGTACGGAAGGGGAATTAACCAGACTGAAGGCCCCTGGCAGCCAGTGTAGGGAAAGAAGGTCCTGAAGATTTGAGGTAGTGGTGGCAACTTTGGATCAAGGAAAACCAACTGAGGCCTGGAGCTAGTAATAAAAAAATAAAGACCAAGGAACTGTGCTGAGCTCAGCAGCTGCAAGGTCTGTTCCTATTAGCTTGCTGGACTTTGCTCAACAAGCCTGTAACCAATCCTGAGTACTGAACTCTGAACAGTAAAAAAAAAAAAAAAAAAAAGCTATTCTGCCTATTTCAGAAATTATCAATTACTTATCAATTACACATACAACACTGTGCTAGTTGAGGTAGGCTCATGAAAAGACCGAGGACACAATCCTAGCCGTTGCGAAGTTCACAACGTTAAAAGAAGGCCCAAAACTTGGAAAGCAGTATTGCTGCTACAGCATGAATGTACAAACATACACAAGCAACATGGAAAACTGGAGGAGAACCCAAGTTTGCCCGTAGTTACCCAAGGAGGGTTTCACCAAAAAAAATAGCTTTTGAGTTAACACTTGAAGACTAACTTAGTGTTTGCTGGGACAAGAGCCAGGAGCAGGTCATTGGAGAAAGAAGTAAATGAATTTGCAAGACATAACATGAAACTGCAAGGACACGTTTTTGGGAACTACAGTATTTGTTTTGCTGTAGCATAAAGGGTGGTGGTTGAGGCGTCCCTAAAACCCGTTCTCAGCCTGCATAGACCACGATAATTTAAGCCTGAGGCCCTTTGGGCCTTTTAAAATTCAGTTTCCTGACGGGAAAGGAGAGGAGATCCAACTTCATGGAAAACTTACAGGCTGTGGGTCAGACTGCATTTTGGAGCACAGAGACAGTCCAAGAAAGACAGCAGCAAAGCGGAAATGGAGAGGGTTTAAGGCCCAACAAAAAACATGTGGTGCAGGCCAGGGGCACTGGCTCGGGCCTGTAATCCCAGCACTTCGGGAGGCTGTGGTCAGGAGTTCAAGATCAGCCTGGCCAACATTGCAAAACCCTGTTTCTACTAAAAATACAAAAATTAGGTGGGTGGCTCCCTCCTGTAATCCCAGCTACTCCGGAGCCTGAGGCAGGAGAATCGCTTGCACCTGGGAGGCAGAGGTTGCAGTGAACCAAGATCGCGCCACTGCACTCCAGCCTGGGCAAGAGAGCGAGACTCTGTCAAAACAAAACAAAACAAAACAAAACAAAACAAAACACGTGACGCGGGCGGCAACAACCTACTTCCTACAGTTATAGACCCTTAACACGGGAAGATGAGTCTATCTGAAATCAATGTTCTGAACTTCCTTTCTGACAGCAGTAGGCTTTGTACTCACAGTAGTTTTATATGGATTCTGTATCACTGGGTATTGATATCCAAACAACAAATCCTTTTCCCTTTTTTATTGACATACAACATAGGTGTTTCATTTAGGTAGTCCTGATGCCCAAATGAGCACTTACGTTGTATGTCATCAGTAGCAGGCATCAGACTACCTAAATGACATTTATGTTGTATGCCTATGCCTGATTTCAAAATTACAGATTACACATAAAACACTATAACAAAAATGGCTGTTGTAAATATACTTCAGCTGTAAGGAATCAACTAGCATCATAATATTGGTAGCAAAAGGCAGTTGGATAGTGTGTGCGTAACTTTGGTTGTTTTTTTTTTTTTTTTAATTGCATCCCTAGTCGCCCAGGCTGGAGAGGAGTGGTGATCTCGGCTCAATGCAGCCTCCACCTGCGGGGCTCAGGTGATCTTCCCACCTCGGCCTCCCGAGTGGGAACTACCGGCGGACGCCAACAGGTTTGGCTAATTAACTTTGAAACGATTTACACAAGGCCTCTGCCATGTGCCTTGCACAATAAACTCTCCACAAACATCTGTTAAGCGATTTTACTGAACCGCGGTCCACGCCTGCTTTCAGGGAAGCTTCCCGTTTCTCTGGAGTTACTTCCCCTCACTTCGGGGGTGCTAGACGTCCTGTTGCGCAAACTCGGCCCCTGGCCAAGGGGTCAGCCGTGGCGCAAACTGTGGTATAGGCTGCGCGCCCCGCCTCCGCCTCCGCCTCCGCCTCCGCCTCCGCCTCCGCCTCCGCCTCCGCCTCCGCCTCCGCCTCCGCCTCCGCCTCCGCCTCCGCCTCAGCCCACAGGCGCCCGAGAGCCCTGAACGGCTCGCGGTCCGTGGCTCAGCGGAGCTTACGCCTGCGTACTGCGCGGCTGATCGGGCGAGGGCGGGGCCAGGGCCAGTCACGCCCCTCGTCCGCTCCGCCAAGTGCGCGTGCGCAGCGGCCAGGGCCCCGACCCCGCCTCAGTCTTCCCGGGTGGCGGTGGGCGTCTGCTTCTCTGCGCTCCGCGGCCTCACAGCCCTCGCGCGTGACCCCCGTCTGCCCCTAGTCTGCTCAGCTGTGCTGCCATGGCGTGGCGGCGGCCCGAGGCCGGCGTTGGGGTCCGCGGCGCTCTGGCTCTGGCGTTGCTCGCCCTGGCCCTGTGCGCGCCCGGGGCCCGGGGCCGGGCTCTCGAGTGGTTCTCGGCCGTAGTGAGCATCGAGTACGTGGACCCGCAGACCAACCTGACGGTGTGGAGCGTCTCGGAGAGCGGCCGCTTCGGCGACAGCTCGCCCAAGGAGGGCGCTCAGGGCGTGGTGGGCGTCCCGTGGGCGCCCGGCGGAGACCCCGAGGGCTGCGCGCCCGACACGCGCTTCTTCGTGCCCGAGCCCGGCGGCCGAGGGGCCGCGCCCTGGGTCGCCCTGGTGGCTCGCGGGGGCTGCACCTTCAAGGACAAGGTGCTGGTGGCGGCGCGGAGGAACGCCTCGGCCGTGGTCCTCTACAACGAGGAGCGCTACGGGAACCTCACCATGCCCATGTCCCATGCGGGTGAGCAGGCTGGGGCGCGAGGACGGGAGGGGGACTTCTGCGCGGCAGCCGAGGCTGGGGTCTTCAGGGTTGGCCCTGAACCGCAGGCCGCCAAGCGGGCCTGGCACGATTCTCAGGCCTCTAGCTGTTGGAACTCTCAGGGAAGCCCTCATTTGCTCGGTGCGGCTCCCCAAGCGCTATTGGGAGGGAGGTAAGTCTGCAGACGAGATATGATCTTCGCCTTTGATCCATGGGGTGAAGGGAGTACAAAAGACGTTAAAATCCACAGAAGGAGCCTTGTGGTTCTAATAGGTGGGGCAATCTTAGATTCCTAATCATGGTCCCCTTTCCATTCACCGCTTCCAAAAGTTGGAGGGGTGAGTAGGAATCCAAGCTCTTAACCCAGCGCGCCCCAGGATCGGTTGTCCCTTCATCAACATAAGGTGATGGCTCGTTGGCACTCTGGTTTCTTCGCTTTCTTGAATCATGTCTGAATATTCTAAACTCTGAGTCAGAAAACCTGCATCTGACTGAGTCAGTAAACCTTGACCTGTGCTTTCTGACTTGCTAAATTTAGGGTTATAACACTGGCTCTACTGCCGGTCAGATTCAGTGAGTCTTGAGTTACGATCAAAATTTTGAAATTACTGTATTCATTCCAGACAAGACCTTGGGACCTGTAATCCCAGC